CAGGATTTGCAAACTCGTCATAACTAGCACCTGGGAAAGCATTAGCAAACTCTAGCTTGTCCAAAAGCTCATCAACAAAGAAAGAAGAAATAAAAAGTTTGCTCTGATTCAAAGCCATGATGTTCTGCCTCACCGCATCATCTAGAAACTTGATTAGGTTATTGAAATAACCGTCAATGTTCAAAAGACCAATGGGTTTACAGTGCAACCCTTCGGATGCCCATGAGATCAAAGTGAATAAACCTTCCATAGTGTCAATCCCTCCAGGAAGTACAATGAAGGCTTCCACAATATGATTCATCTCGAAATACTTATAGTAATTGCTGGAGACGGTGTACTCCGCACCATATGTTGGTCCATAGACCCCTCGTGTTGCTATATACCCTGGTATGAAACCTCTGACTCTACCACCATTATTATAGACTGTTGAAGCTACAGCTCCTTGAAGGCCAACGTTACCTCCTCCGTAGGTAAGCCTGATTTTTCGTCTTACCAATTCCCATCCTAGATCAACCGATGTAGCCATGAACCTTGGATTGCTACCAAAAGCATGACTACCAAGTAGACCAACGAATCTTATGGTATTAGGAAGAGCTCGAGAAGTTCCTTCCATAATGTGAGAATGTGAGACGCTCTTGCCACAATTTGATATATATAGACTCTGAAACTGGACCATTGATGGAAAAGTAATTATCACCAGCCTAAAAACGTACAGGAAAGTGGATTCGCTCAGACAAGAACTTACTCGCCAATACTACAGTCTACTGATGACATGACATATTGAGACTAATGAACAGTTAGGTTCATTGTCCTGAAATACATTCAAATCCGAGATGAAAAGTCAAAATGACTATTTATCTAAGACAATGACCCCTTGAGTAACTTCCAAAGAGTGAAACATTAAAGGATGAAAACCTACGATTTGCCACAATAACTCGCAAATGCTATATTCGTATCTTGTGACTTATATCCTCAAAATATTCAAACTTGCTATGTTAATTACACACTTAAAGCATCTCACTTGATCAATCTTGAAAAGATTGAATTCAATTTTTTTTTTTAAAAAACGCATGTATCAATAGAATCCCAAACGTATTAGAATACGACTATGCGTATAACTTATCATGTTTTTGATAATAGGTAAACCAACTCTTTTGTGAAGTAAGAATATTAGTGATATGACGAATACACTAATATTATAATTTTCGAGCACGAAGCTCTATCTTAATTATTGAGAAAGTCTGAAATTTCAAGGTAGTTCTGGAATCATCAATTAGAAAATCAGTATTCAAGAATGACTACATATCATCTTGATAAGACAAATAGTGACAAAATAGCAAGTGTTATCAAAACATTCATCCAATCATTACAATGTGATAAAAAACATCTCATTATTAAACATAAGTGTGATATATGTGTTAACTATTACCAACAAGCTTAAATCAGCTTATTGACATTACGTTAGTCAGAAAAACTCTATTAAGGATCGCTAATGAGAGTTCAAGTTTTGAAAGTATAATTATGTATTCATCTAGAAAATCTAGAATGATGACTATAGTAATAGTCATTCCTCAAAACACCGTTATGCAAAAACGTCAAAAAAAAAAACAATTCGTTCGAGCTTGTAGACAAAGAAGCGTAATTTGTGAAACCAACATTCCAGACAAAGTCGTCTGAAGATAATTTTAAAAACAATAAAAAAAACAGAAATTTTGTAAACTACCCCACATTAAGAAACGAAATCCATACAAGAACTTTTGGAAAACTCCTTCACCGCGTCAATAGCAAGTCAAAGAGTATATTCGACGAAAATCTTCAAAAAAAAAGAAGAAATCCAAACATGTTACATCTATCATCCGCGTATATCCTTCTAAAAAATGTCATAATCAATGAGAACATCACATAAGCATGACACTCAACAAGACAAAGAGAAAACAACTTTTCAAAAATAGTGTATTACAAAAACAATGGATATTCATTATTTTGTACATCATCATTTTAAATGACTTCACCTAAGGAAATTTCGGGGACGAAATTTCTTTAAGGGGGAAGAAATGTAACGCCACAAACTATGGCCTAAAATTTATTATAAAACAAAAGTAGTTTTTGGTCCAATAAGTAATATTAATACGTTTGACCAAAAATAAATGGATTTTCAAAATAATGACTTTTTTTGTTAAAAACTTATTTTTATGGATATGTCTCGAAGAGACGAATCCAACGGTACATTTTATGAATCCATCTGATTTATAGATTTCAAGTTATGACAATTTTAAATATTAAAATTGTTAACTTTGACCCATAAAATAAACTCAATTCAAAAGTGATTTCATCAGATTAGAAATCATAATTTTGACACTTGACAACATCATATTTATCATTTGAATTTAATTGATACATTTTTATCTCATTCATATTATTAAATAATTTATGACCTAGACAGACCCGAACACTAAGAAAAATAAAAGTTCTCAGAAAAATATTTTGATTATGTCAAAATTCTAGTTTTGACAGTCTGATTCCAAAAACACAATCCGTTTCCAATTCGGAACAGTTTGGACGAAAAAGTGTGTATCGTTCAGGATAAATTTATCAGTTTGGACTAAAAGCCAAAGTTTATTTCTCCTCAAATCTTCACAAATCGGACAGCCACCTTAGGAGGAAATTTCCTAAGTGTTTTAAAAGACTCTCCAGGCTTCACTTGATATCCTAATAAGCCAAATGACTTTGGCTATTAAAGTCTATCCCAATTTCCTAAAGCCAATTACAACACAACTCCTTTGTCCTCCTCTCTCTCTCTCACTGTCGGCAACTTCAAGGAGAGAAGAAAACAGCCTCCTCCATAGATGGTTCAAGAAGAATAAGAAACAAGAATAAACCATCCATAGTTTCCAAATCATGAGTTCCAAACACAGCATCAACTTCTACGTAAGTTCTGAAATTTTCCATCCAATATCTCGAAATACTTTCTGAACCAAAGTTGTAGCCCCGGACGATACAAATCCAGCCCAAAAAAAACGGATTGCGATTTCGTTAAGTAACGAAGAAGATATGTTCAAACTACCGGGACTGCGCCAGTGGTGGTGAGCTCCTCGGGTTAGCATGTGTTTCTTCACCAAATTCATATTATTTCATTCCAAATACTTACCATAAACTCTCCAACAATTATTAGGAACATCCGGAAGGTAGAGAAAATTCAGTGTTGGAATATTGAAATAAAGGAGTTAATCGTCGGAATCATTGTTCATCAACATATACAAAATCCTGAACAGCAACTATCCTTTGACCTCAGGTCCAATTTACGCTATCTTACGTCTGTTAAAACGAAATACTTTCTATACAAAAAATGTAGCCTTACATCTTAAGAATCCACAGAATCAAACGGTTTGCGATTTCGTGAAGAAACGATGGAGATATGCTCAAACTACCGCAGGCTGTCCAATTATGACGGGAATGACAAAGTTGGTGAATTTTGTTCTTGTTTCCACTCCCGCTCATCCGTAAGGTTTCAGCCGATGATTTCCAGGTCTATACCTTTGCGTTAGACTTGTCGAATCATTCATCACATGCGTACATGAACATATATGTTAATCCATTTGTTGAAATCATTCCAAAATATATATGTGACGCATATATAAGTCATCTTTGTGTTAAGACCATAATACACCAAAATCATAAAGTTATTATATATAAACATTTGAAATCAACCCAAAAATATGTACTACCTCCGTCCCACTCTCTTTGTCCACTTTTGACTTTTGGAGCTGTTCATCTAAGCACTTTGACTCATCAAATTCTCTCAATGTGTAAGCCTAAATATAGTCATGTGTGATCTTGTTTTATTTGTCTTAACATATAGATTATTAATATATAGTTTCTATAATTTTTTAATATACAAATTACAAGATAAAATAGATTAAAAAAGTGCATTGAATGGTGTGTCAAAAGGTAAGTGGACAAAGAGAGTGGGACGGAGGGAGTATATATTAATCAAAGGTGTTTAAAAGACTTAAATAAGTATTTTTGGACACTCAAAATATCAAGAATAAGATTCGCAGACCCAAACGGTTGACGCAAACGGTCGACCGTTGTATTAAACTTCAAAACGAACCACAACTGTCAGCCAAACGGTCGACCGCCGGTGGCTGACGGTCGGCCGCCGCCCATCCAGCCGAAGTCCGCCATCCGCAGCTAGTCAACTATGGTCGACCGCTGGTCAACCACGGTCGACCGTCACGGTGTTCCGTCAGCCCGACGTAATGAAGGTCGAGGTCAACCGTCGCGCCAAACGGTCGACCGTTCCGAGCCACGTAGCTTAATTGAATGATATTTTATCAGATTTCACCTAAATAAAATAAAGTATATTTATCCATTTATATTGTTTACAAATTGTTCATATCATATGATTCATTTCATCATCCATATTGAAGCATATCACATCATGTGCATGCGTAAGAGATCATGCTTAATTGCGTCTCTTATAGCGTGATGTGCGGGACTTACTAGTCCGACATCACCCGTTCTGGGCTTAGTGTACGTACATGGTATTCAGGTTTCGAGTACCACCCTTACTTTCTAGTCTCCCTTGAGAGACTAAGGCCGCGTGAGTTCGTCATACCAAATGGGC